GAATACGAAAGCATTTGTCATGAAATTCTGGGGTAATTGTAATCCAATTGTCAACGATAGCGATAGATAATGGATGCAACTAGTGAGTTGGACAAATTGAAAAATAGGACTTAAATTGTTTTTTTTTTCTAATATACATGTAGTTGTCACACTCTGGTCCGATCCTAGTGGCCAACGACTGGTACAGCGCCCTCTTGAAACTTTTAAGTCAACACTTTGAGCAACAGAGGACGCACTTCAACATTTATGGTCCATGCGTGGTCGGTGATCCCAGTTGATCCCACGTCTATAGGTAGTCTGAGGATCAGGTATGCACGTGTGCAGCTCAGAGAGCCCCGCGACGAACGTCTGATATTGTATCTTAGCATGCAAATTATATGCGACCCCACGCGCCAGCCAATTGAAGTCGACTTTTGAAGCTGTGACGTCATTTCATCAGAATATGTGGACTAAGCTGCCGATTGGTCAATTTGGCTGCCATGTTTTTGTAATACAATAACGGATTACGGAAGCCCCGATAGAAGGCGCCCGCTGAATGGTCAGCATCTCCAGGTCAAGACGCAGTCTTGTTTTGCATATTATCGCCAAATCTGCGCCAAAATCATATAGACTAGTCTTTAGGTTCGGTCTCGTCCGCATTTGAACACCGCTCCCAGGTATGATGCCCCCCCCCCCCTTTCTGCTTTTGCCCCCGTAATTCCCGGTTGATGGACCAGGGAGTATCCTCGGTTCAGATTGCTTGACCCGCCCGTGGACTTGTTTCGGGAAATAAACATGTTGTCTTTTACGTCGGCGTACGTAGCTTTGCAGGCAGGACATCGTTTGGACGGCAAGCAAACGGAACGGGACTCTCACAGATGACAAACATGAGATCGCCGGAGACATCGCCATCCATGTGGCCGTCTCGACTTCGCCACAGTTGCACACAGTCTTGATAATTATTATCTCCTCCAGGTACACAATCGAGGAAATTGCATGCTCCTGCCTCCCAAGACTTTACACACCTGCCTTCTTCCTCGTCCCCACGGTAAAGTTTGCCGTGGACATCTCCCAGATGAACTGATGTTCCTCCACAGTCAGGAACCGCCAAGCCATCGCTCTGTCAGAGCAGGCAGCATCACCCTTCCACGTCATTTTCTCGGTCAGGAGTTGATAGCAAGAACCCCCGAATATTTTGTCGTAGTAACAAGAATCTCAAAGACAACGACGACTCTACACCTACTTCCCAGTCACAACTGCAAGATGGCTGATCTCCGTCAAAGCTTCATCACTCATTACAAACCATGCGTCATTTTTTGAGGTTTTTTTTTATAATTGTATATTTGCCTTAGTAATACCATAGAATGATAATGGAATAGTATACTAGAAAATTTCTTTTATTTTCGCAAGGCAGACTGGTTTAATCCTGTTAAAACCAAGAACAACTGCACTTTCAAGGGATCTGTTACAATCCCCTAGACTAATAAAGAACTTCTTTTCAGAGGATTTTAAACCGCTCACAAATATAAAAGCATTTTTGTCCTGTTAAACACTTAAAAGTCTTACGTTTATTTGAAGAAGAAAAACTAGTTGATTACAAAGTACACCATTACTCCTTTAAGCGCTCTTTAGAATTGAAAAAAAATCTGTCTTGCCTTGCCCATCATTAATCAACAATTTGCATGAACACTCATTGAGACGTTGATGACTGTATAATTTACAAAAATACCAACTATACCAAGATCAAGAGAGCATCTATATTACATGTATTTGCTATAAAACACTAGCCTCCAAATCCATCCATTTCTGAAAATTACAGCAAAAGCAAATGCTGTATATTACCTTAAATGAAAGCAAAGACATTATTACTTTTTAGTGCAGCTCATTCTAATTTGCCTTTTTTGTAATACACACACATTTCAAAATATTTGTTATATTTTTGTACTGCAAAATTATTTTACAGTAATGAATACAAGTCTATATACACTGTACAGGTATAATGTTGAAAATGACACCAACTTCTGCTCAATATAGGCTAATAGAAACAGCTCAACTTTTTTCTAGGTCAACTTTTTTTTTAATACGTCTTCCAATACTCTTTTTATCCTTTGCAAACATGCAAATCTAAGGCATTTCCGCTACCCGGAATCTCCAAATTTGAACCAAACCATGAGATTATTTAAAAATGCATGTAATTAGTGCACACAAAATACATGTACATGTACAATAAGCGTGTTCCACGCCTCTACTGCATAATTTTCTTTACTCCATGTATACCTAAATAGGGTATTTACAATTATTGTTTCAAAAGTTAATCATTCTAAAAAACTTGGCAGATCTTTCACATTTTTCTGCGCTCACGTTGTACCTCACATTCAGAAGTGGACACCAAATCTTTTAACTTTTGAGGGCGCTATTCCCAAAAGCCCAACGCCATTTTGCATTTTCACCAAACTGTATATAGACCATGTGACATTACAAAATAAGATTGTGTGGTCACATGATACAAACTTTCAGCAAACGTTTGTCCTCAGCACTGAATGTCGCTTGAAATATGATGGTTTAAAAGTGTTGACATAAACTGTGTAATGTGGAACCCCCAAAAAAACATGAAAAAGATGGATGCCGGCGGTTGCCAGTCAACATGACGTCACAGGGCACAATACACTACAAAATACTTTCTCTTTTCTTTGATCACTCTCTCTTTTTCATATTTTTTCATGCATTATTTTCGACAAAATGTTTAGGATTTCGTTCACGCAACTCCTACCTTCCTTTTATTATTTACAAGATTTTTTCAACATGCAAAAATACAAACTTTATACGACTCCATCCCGCTCATGTTGTTAGGTCTCGTCCGCACTGAACGGCGCTCCCAGGTTTTATGACCCCCCGTTCCATTTTTTTTAATTCCAAATCCGTGGTTAATGTGGAACGGGGATTATTTCTGGCTACCCTGGGCTTATTGTCTCGTTCCGCCCCGGGTCTGATGGCTGGATCCGCCCGTGGACCCTGTTTCAGGGAATCAAAAAGTCTTTTCGCGAGTGTCAACGCGGGCTCTGCATCTTCCGTTTGGAACAACTTCCTAGTGTTTATGTTCATAAAATGATTCCGTCAATCTACTGAGTTTTAAAATGTACACCCAGTTGTTATGCCCACGCCAAAACTTCGTGCTGAGCGTATTGCCGATGATGTTGAGCACTTAGAATTCGAAATATTTGCAGCCGTTGTCCAGTCGTATGTTCTTCCCGTCAGCTTCATTACGGGTGATGCTATTCAGCTGACAAATCAACTCTCCGGGGCCGCCTCGGCGCAGATTGAAGGAGCGGCATCCAGGCTCACCCCGGCACGCCGAGCCGCACGCGATGACACCCTTGGACGAGAACTCCTTGATGACGTGACCGGTGAGGCAGTGGGATGGGGAGCGGGCGTCGGCGTAGCTTTGCAGGCAGGACATCGTGGGCACGGCAAGCGGAACGGGACTCTCACAGATGACGAATATTAGAATGTCGCAGGCAACGTCATCCATGAGGCCGTTTCGATCTCGCCACAGTTGCATACAGTCTCCCCCAAGTGGTTCTCCTGGTGCCCACTTGAAGAAGTTGCATTCTCCTCCCTCACCAGACTTCACCCACTTGCCTTCCTCCTCCCTGTCGTTACATCCGATCCAAAGTTCCCCCAAGGTGACGTTTGCCGTGAACATCTTCCAGATGAACTGGTGTTCCTCCAAGGAGTCAGGAACCGCCAAGCCAGCGCCCATCTCCGAGCAGGCAGCATCACCTTGGTCCCACGTCATTTTCTCGGCCAGGAGTTGATAACAAGAACCCCCGAATCTCTCCTGGGCGGGTTGGCAAGCCTCGGCGTAAACACACGCACGCACGATGGCAACAACACTCATCCAGCAGATCAGTTCCATCGTGCACACTGGTTTCGGACCGTGTTAACAATCTCGCAAATCTTATTGAGAAATGCAGGTTGTGACAGAGTAAAATGGAATAAATCGCCAGAAAGTCTCACTGATGCAAGTTTGGTGCGTGAAATTCTCAAAATTTAACGAAGGCCTCGTCAAGAACGACTGTGATATTATGAACTGGCACGGATGTGTTGATCAGGACGAACTGCTATGTTATCCAGCAATTATAACTACGCTAGTGGCTTCGTGGTTTTAATTAAACTTCAGATTCTAGATCTTGTCCAATTAAAACTCGACGCGCAGAGACACCGCTGTCAGCATGCACCAAGTCATTGTTCGACCTAGACAATAGCTCTGCACAAGAAAGTCTCATGCACTCTATTAAATATCTTGTTGTTTTGGGGTTTGTTATTTACTTTTGAACGTTGCCACAGCAACCTTTACCATAATTGCGCACGTCTGACGGCTAGTTAGTCCACATTTTGTTTGCAGTCGTAATACACATCGTTGAACGGGCGTAAGCCAGCTAGTCTGGTTTCCTGACCTTACAATTCCCCGACGTCTATAAATTGATCCGTTTCGTCTGAAATAAGGTCAGGGAACCAGACTGCAAGAACAGCATATTTTTTTCCTTGGATTTTCCAGCATCAACAATGTTTACTATAAATTACTAACACCCAAATCCATCCATTTCTGAAAATTACAGCAAAAGCAAATGTTGTATAATTATTACCTTTAATGAATGCAAAGACATTATCACTCATTTGTGCAGCTCGTTCTAATTTGCCATTTTTGTAATACACATGCATTTCAAAACATTTGTTATATTTTTTCATTGTAAAATTCTTTTACTGTAATGAAAACAAGTCTATATACAATGTATACTGTTGAAAATGACATAAACTTCTGCTCAATATAATAGAAACAGCACAACTTTTTTTCTAGTTCAACATACATGCTCCAATAGTCTTTTATCCTTTGCAAACATGCAAATCTAAGGCATTTCCTTTACCCAAAATCTCCAAATTTGAACCAAACCATAAGATTATGATCTTACATTTAGAAATACATGTAATTAGTGCACACAAAATGTACATGTATGTACATGTACAATACGCGTGTTCCACGCCTCTACTGCATAATTTTCTTTACTCCATGTATAAAATACACATATGCCTAAATAGGGTATTTACAATTGTTTCAAAAGTTAATCATTCTAAAAGCTTGGCACAGATCTTTCACATTTTTCTGCGCTCACATTGCTACCTCACATTCAGAAGTGGACACCAATTTGTTTAACTTTTGAGGGCGCTATTCCCAAAAGCCCAACGCCATTTTGCATTTTCACCAAACTGTATATAGACCATGTGACATTACAAAATAAGATTGTGGTCACGTGATACAAACTTTCAGCAAACGTTTGTCCTCAGCACTGTATGTCGCTTGAAATATGATGGTTTAAAAGTGTTGACATGAATCTTTAATGTGGACCCCCCCCAAAAAAAAAATGCAAAAGATGCATGCCTGCGGTTGCCAGTCAACATGACGTCACAGGGCACAATACACTACAAAATACATTCTCTTTGCTTTGAACAATCCCTCTTTTTTTCATCTTTTTTTCATGCACTGTTTTCGACAAAATGTTTAGGATTTCGTTCACGCAACTCCTACCTTCCTTTTTATTTACAAGTTTTTTAAAACATGCAAAAATACAAACTTTATACGACTCCATCCCGCTCGTATTGTTAGGTCTCGTCCGCACTGAACGGCGCTCCCAGGTTTTATGACCCCCCATTCCATTTTTTTGTATTCCAAATCCGTGGTTGATGTGGACCGGGGAATATTTCTGGTTATCCTGGGCTTATTGTCTTGTCCCGCCCCCGGGTCTGATGACTGGATCCGCCCGTGGACCCTGTTTCAGGGAATCAAAAAGTCTTTTCGCGAGTGTCAACGCAGGGCTCTGCATCTTCCGTTTGGAACAACTTCCTAGTGTTTATGTTGACAAAATGATTCCGTCAATCTACTGAGTTTTAAAATGTACACCCAGTTATGCCCACGCCAAAACTTCATGCTGAGCGTATTGCCGATGATGTTGAGCATTTAGAATTCGAAATATTTGCAGCCGTTGTCCAGTCGTATGTTCTTCCCGTCAGCTTCGTTACGGGTGATGCTATTCAGCTGGCAAATCATCTCTCCGGGGCCGCCTCGGCGCAGATTGAAGGAGCGGCATCCAGGCTCACCCCGGCACGCCGAGCCGCACGCGATGACACCCTTGGCCAAGAACTCCTTGATGACGTGACCGGTGAGGCAGTGGGATGGGGAGCGGGCGTCGGCGTAGCTTTGCAGGCAGGACATCGTGGGCACGGCAAGCGGAACGGGTCTCTCACAGATGACGAATATCAGATTGTTACAGGCATTGTCATCCATGAGGCCGTTTCGATCTCGCCACAGTTGCATACAGTCTCCCACAACTGGTTCTCCTGGTGCCCAATTGACGAAGTTGCATTCTCCTCCCTCACCAGACTTCACCCACTTGCCTTCCTCCTCCCTGTCGTTACAGCCGATCCAAAGTTCCCCCAAGGTGACGTTTGCGGTGAACATCTTCCAGATGAACTGGTGTTCCTCCAAGGAGTCAGGAACAGCCAAGCCAGCGCCCATCTCCGAGCAGGCAGCATCACCTTGGTCCCACGTCATTTTCTCGGCCAGGAGTTGATAGCAAGAACCCCCGAATCTCTCCTGGGCGGGTTGGCAAGCCTCGGCGTAAACACACGCACGCACGATGGCAACAACACTCATCCAGCAGATCAGCTCCATCGTGCACACTGGTTTCGGACCGTGTGAACAATCTCGCAAGTCTTATTGAGAAACACAGGTTGTGACAGAGTAAAATGGAACAAATCGCCAGAAAGTCTCACTTATGCAAGTTTTGGAACGTGGAATTCTTAAATGAAACCCTCGTCAAGAACGACTGTGATATTTGAACTGGCACGGATGTGTTGATCAGGAACTGCTGTTTTATCCAGCAATAACCACGGTTATTTGCCAACGTGGCTGCGCAGTTTTCATTAAATTCAGATTCTAGCTCTTGTCCATCACTGAAATTGGCGTGCACAGTTAATACGGCTCTCCCTTGTCAGCATGTTCCCATGTCATTGTTAGACCTAGAAAGTAACATTTTTTGTTTATTTTCTTTGATCACTTTGTTAGGTTGTCATAGCAATGGCAACCTTTACCATAATAGTATTTGCATACGTAATGACGCATTGGATATGGCCGCTGCAATTTATCTTTTTTTTTCATTAATAATGGATAAGCGATCCAGCATGTTCTACCTATTACATTGTCATGACAGATTAAAAAAGCCTTGAGAACGCAGATCTGCCGATCAATGTGGGCTATGCTATTCAGCTGACAAATCATCTCTCCAGGGCCGCCTCGGCGCAGATTGAAGGAGTGGCATCCAGGCTCACCCCGGCACGCCGAGCCGCACGCGATGACTATTGAGAAATACAGGGTTTGAAAGAATAAAATGGACCAACAAAATCACCAAAAAGTCTCACTGATGCAAGTTTGGTGCGTGAAATTCGCACAATCTATTGAAACCCTCGTCAAGAACGACTGTGATATTTGAACTGGCACGGATGTGTTGATCAGGACGAACTGCTGTGTTATCCAGCAATATCCGCGGTAGTGGCTGCGCGGTTTTAATTAAATTCAGATTCTAGCTCTTGACTTGTCCAATTAAATCTCGATGCGCAGAGACACCGCTTCATTACCTCAAGTCATTGTTAGACCTAGACAATAGCTCTGCACAAGAAAGTCTCATGCAGTCTTTTAAACATCTTGTTGTTTGTTGGTTTGATATTAACTTTTTAACGTTGCCACAGCAACCTTTGCCATAATTGCGCACGTCCGACGCACTTATTGTTATATCATTTATGATTTATCGATCGAGCGTGTTCTACCTCTAGCTCTGTAATGGTTAGTGTCAAGGCAGCTAATTGAAAATCTTGAGAATGCAGACCTGTAAATCGATGGGTTGATTGAGTGGGTATTTGAAGTGAAATTATGAACTTGCTGGAAAATATAGGCCTATATTGTGTAGACCTACCAAGTGTCGCGCATCTAGCGTGTGTACGTGTCGCCTCAATGGGAGTCAGTTCACACGCTCACACGCCGGGCAATCGTAACCACACGCCTCATCACGCTAATGACAATGTCTTTAAAAAATCTTTTCGGGACCAGAATACGGAAACATGTTTCGTGTTTGGGTTGAGCGTTTTGGCGAGTTCGGTTCTGCACGAAGATAAATCTGCTTTTTTTCCCCCCACCTCTCTAGTGCCTTGCCAGTAGAGCAAAAATTTTACCTCAAATTTCACAGATAGGCTTAGTGAAAGTTCATCAAGCTCAAAAATTCCCCTTCGTTAATCTTGACGTACCCGTTACAAAGTTAACAACCTTTTACTTTGACGTGATTATCTTCTCTTTTTTTTTTAAAGTGCAACCTTTTATAATGCGCCCCAAAATAAGAAAATAATTGACTGACAAGCTCGTAGTTGGGAACGGGACTGGAGATAATGATGATTTATCAGAATTTGTCAACATTAAAGAAATTCGTAAATGCTAACTTGGGACTTTCTGAGATTTGTTCGTGTGCGCCACGTGTGGGAACACTCGGTCAATTGAATTGTGTGCCTGATTTCCGGACGCCACTGAATTTTAATTTGGCTAATTCGGTGACTGATGAAATGTTCCATTCCACTCGGCTTCGCCTCGTGAAGTAGAACATTTCATCTGTCACCTCATGAAATTATTCTTACCACTGCACTCACAAACATTCATTACTTGTATACCAGCGACTAGAACTGGAATACTACGATGGGATCCACACCCCAGGGTACAATTTCATGCAGCAACTAAGCGGATAAAACTAATTGGCAGAAATATCGGCATAACCAGTATCAGCTAGAAGTCGGTCACGAGTACGGTACTAATAATACAAATCATATAAAATTCTGGCCCCAGTCATTGGTTCTTCGTCACCGGTAAAGTACAAGGGCGCCCTCTCAATTGATATGACGGAACGACGTGACCAACAGAGGTCGCATTTCAATATTTATGGTCACTGACCTGTGCACTCATGATAGCAGCGATTTTTTTCTTCCCGTCCCGATCCCCCGTACAAACCGTCTGGGCAGGAGGGGGGCGGGGGGGGGGGGGGCTGGTACCCATCTTCCAATTGAGGGCGCTCTTCAAAACTGACCATTGTTATGCATACTTTTTATTTTTACAGAGCATTTTCTGTTGTGGGGGATTGATAGAATAACTCTATAAAAAGGTATTTAAATCATTTCTGACAAAAAACAATTTGTCAAACAATTTCGTAAGGGGTGGCAAAGTGCCCCCCCCCCCCCCCGCTGGATACGCCACTGCCTAGTTGGTACTTTGCCCCCCCCCCCCCGGTCTCAGGGCTGGCGACGGGCCTGCGTTTGGGGGAGGGGGTGGGATAGATCCCTGGAGTAATCGTCCACCTGGACCGGATATTTCGTCCTTAATTTATAAGTAAATCTAAGGCTAGGCTGACTTGAACAACAACTTAGGTTCACCTGTCTTATATGGGCCTATTTCTTATTTTTTTTTTTTAAATTGATGAGTGGAAATGTTACACTCGTGCCCAGGTCTTTTCGTTTGAAATATAATTCTTGGGGTGTCTTAACCACATGCAGTTTGTTTTTGCGGAGGTATTTATGTATCATGCCTACAATTAAAATTGTGTACCGAAAAGGCGTTTTCACGTAAAGACTGTATCTCTCTTAGTTTGTATGTTTGTTTGTTTGTTTGTTTTTTACTTTAGAATTGAAATTTTCTCCGCAATACAAATATATTTATAAATTAATTTGACATCAAGAGTCTTAGTCAAGTGTAAGATTTAAAACGTCCCTTTTCGCAACTGCCGATCACAAGTTAAGTTACACCAGCGGTTTGAAATCGTGGTCGAAGGACAGCTAGCTATCTAGCTAAAGTGAAGAATACCAAAAGTCGTTGCCCATTATTTCTGGATTGCGCCCTCTAGTGCACCCGGGTTAAAAAAAAAAAAAAAAAAAAAATCCCCGTGCATGGTAAACACCGCCCTCTTGTGCCTGAAGTTAACTTCTACGAAACTTTTGACAATCCATCCAAGGCAAAGGCATGATGGCTCATGCATAGCCCGGCAATGAAACTGTAAAATCGCAGAAGAAAAGAGGTATATTTTCGTCTTGGACACAGAGAATTATTATGTGCATATGATTTTTGACAAAGTAAAATGTATAATTTCGGGTGGGTCGTTGACGTTAGCCTTTGCAGTGCTCCGGGATTGAGCTGCCTGTGCTGTCACTTGTGTCAGTGTCATGACTGTGGCACTGCCAAAAGTGCCATGCGATGAGTTAAGTTCACATGAACATCCGGGAACTTTGTACTAGGCCTAATTTGCCAATCTTGTTTCCATAGCAACCAATGAGGTAAAATGTTCATGCTAGAGCAATAACCCTGGCCCTGCATTAGTGTAATACCTTGTACACTATAGCCCCACTTCACTTGTGAGGCATTGCTGCACTGTACGTTCAACCCAAACGTTGGGTTTCCAATCTACTGAGGAGTTTGTCCCAAAAAAGCGCGCATTTTTTTACAAACCACTGCATACAGACTACAGTTGTATTCTGTGATGTCTCAACTGTCGCCATTTGGCTTGATTATTTAAGTTATCTTTAATCCATGCATTTTTCAAGAAATTTAGGCATCTTTCTGGAGTCGATATGCACACGTAAAACATCTTAATTTTTTTTTTCGAGTCCAAGCTCTAGTCCATTATGGTGACTCAAAAATATATTTCTTTCCACTAGGCACTACATTGTACTTTGAAATATTTGACAATTTTTTAAATTATAAAAATTTGTTGCTCAGTGTTGCCCCCAACATTGTGATTGATTTTAATTTTGACAAGCACTTGAATTTAAATTTTAATGGGGGTGGGGGGGTCTAATGTTTATTTTCATTTATTTTTGATTTTGAATAATTTTTTTCGGGGGAGGGGGGTGGTTTCAGGGTGGGGTTATAATTTTCCAAGAAATCTAACACTCAAAAGTGTCAAATATAGCAATAAAAGTGGGTGCAGTCACAATTCAAACTTTAAAAAAAAAATGATAAAGTTAGATTTACGTCATTAGGCATTGAAATATTGCCCCAGTATAACTGTGAGCCTTTAGATTGAAAATATATATCATGCAGATATATGGGAACACCTATTATTTTTTTTAACTGGAGTAACTTAGGTGTGTACAATGTGTAGTGTGAATGAACGAACAAGTAAACATTGTTGTTTTAATACATCTTCAGTATCTTTGCACGCATACAGTACAAAGTTACTCTTCTTGTCACGACACCCTTTGTAAAGGTGAAAGGAGTTAACGAATCTTGGCACATTGGGCAAAAAAATGCAACGATAACGATAGATTATTGCCCGGTCGTGGGTCTCTCCCTGGCACCTGAGGCTAACAAATCACGAGCCCAGATATTTCTGGGCTAAGTGACGGGCGCAAGGGTTTGCGGGCCACGAGATCTAACAACTATCGACATTTTTGAGTAATGATTGATGCTACTGAATGCGAAAAATGTCAAATGCATTGTCTGAAAAATGGAGGCATGAATGTTCTTGTTTATGCTGCCAGGTAAATTGCACGCATGCTAAAAATGGTGATTTTTGAAGACATTTTGTGTTTGATTGTGTGTATGAAGAAATAACCTGTTGTTTAGAATGGGGGTCAGTAACCAGGCATGCAAATTTTCCTCGGATCAGCTGATTTCCTCTTGTTTTCCAAGGTTCACAGTTATTGCATTTAAATTTTGAAAATGCTGTATAAAGTCATTTGAAGGGAATGCAAAACATTTGCTTTTGCTGCAATTTCCAGAAATCAATGAATTTGGAGGATCAGTATTCATGTTATAGCAAATATTGTTAAACTGACTTGTTTCACGCTTTGGGCTTGTAGATGCTGGGAAAACCAAGAAAACCAATCATGTTCTTGTAATCTGGTTCCCTGACCCCACTTAAGATGAATTGGAGTAATTATAGACTTTGGGGAATTGTAAGGTCAGAGAATCAGTCTAGTAGGCTTGTACCCCTTTTCAGGTGTGTAATCAATTGCAGAGAAAATGCGGAATAACTAATTAGGAAAAATTAGGAGCAGTTTTTGAAGAAAAAAAAGTTTTCTCCAATGCTGGTCTGCCAACCAGCGTTAGAAAAATACCATTTG